CTTACCGAATTCTTTCATGAAGACATGGCAGATAATCTTATAATTGCCTCCCACGTTTCCCTCCATTTTCCTGGGGCCCCTGCCTCCTCCCTCCTCAGGCAACTCCTTTGTCTCAGGATTTCGCCCAGGACCCAAGGACAAACATGCCTAGTGTTGAAATAATCACAGCAGCTGCTACCATGAGCAGAGGCTGGACCAGGGCCTTCTGAACGTTACCTCAATTGTTAGACCCCTAAATACTCCACCTCACAGATGGGGAAATCAAGGCTTAGATGGGGACGTGACCCTGCTAGGGTCACTCAGTCAGTATGAGGCTGAGCTGGGGTTCAGACTCAGTTCTGTTTGACTTTGAAATTACTTAAAACTAAAAAAAAATCCCAGTATCCATGCAGGCCCTCCCCCTCCCCCATCCCCATCCCCCCAAAAAAAGCACTTGACTATAAAAATAGAGAGGGCTCTGAGTTAGGAGGTTGCCGTGATTAGGCCCAGTGCCAGGAGAGTTTGAGATTTTCAAGGAGCCTCCTTGAGTCAGTGTCCAAAAATGTCCCGTAACCGCAAGGGAGCCTCTGTACCTCCCAGGCCAGTGGCCGGTGAGAACACAATGTGACCGTATTACTTTGACTGTGGCCATGCGGTGGTGAGGAAGCCCCGACCCCCTTCCGGCCTCTTTGTCCCATTTAGTGCTCCATCTGGGGGCCCCTCCCAGGCAGCCCGGCTGGTCTTGACTCTGAGGTGAAGGAGTAAACATTTTGGGACTCTTTATTAGTTTATTTCAGAAGATGGAGCCTGTTTGTCCCTGGGGCCCATCCCTCTTTTATGGCCTCCAGCCCTTCTTGACAAATTCTAGTGACTGGAGAGAAAACCCGCTTTCTACAGCGGATCATTAAAACGCCGCCATAAAACCCAGGGCCGTAAAATATTATTTGCCTGGCATCAAAGGGGGGGTAGATTTTCCCAGAATGTCAACCCCGGCTCTGCTTTCTCCCACTGGGAACGGCGGCACAGGGATGAGATGGTTCATAAATTCCTTATCTTGCACTCTGTTTTGTGAAATAACCCTGTTGGGAGAGCAGCCAAAAAATATTGATTTATTTGTTCCACAGACTCAAAAGCATTTTTAATGAGGGGAGCATGGCGATGCCTTGCCAGTGTGTCTGCAGATGACTCAATCTGCGGACATACACCCAAATATACATGAGGTGCGTATGGGGAAAGGTGGGGATCCAGGAGCTGGAGATCTGTGGGAGAGAACCTTTGGAGATGGAGGTGGAGATGGAGAGGAATGGATTCCCCTCCTTCACACTGTTCGTTGCCCAGCCAAATCAGTTGAGGCCCATCTTGGAAGGAGCTTTGCAACTGAGCCTGGCTTTCTAGAGAAGCACCCCCTGACTGAAGGGTCAAAGTGGGTTTCCTGTTGGTTCCCCTGGACATTTTTCTCTGGAAATAACCTTTTCACCCAGGCATGCATTCATTTGGTCATTCATCAATATTATTGAGCAACTACTGAGTGCCAGGCATGGGGGCTACAGCCATGGAAACACGGCCACAGAACTTATTCCATTCTCACGGTGCCAGCTCAGCACACCCATTATTCATATCATCAGATAAAATTCACAATCCTCCACCTGAAGGCCTCAGGGCCGGTCAATAGGTTTGTCAGAAATTTTGGAATTTTTTTGGAAAGATAAAATAGGGCATATGATTACTTCGTTTGCAAACAGCCCCCGTGAGGTCTGGGGAAGGACCCAGTAATCCAACACTGCTCACATTTCTTCTGTGAACAGTATGAACATTCACGCCAACTCGGATAAATTAAGACTATAAATGGCCTTGTCATGTGAGGTCTAGTTTTGTCACCAAAGGAGTGGCAAAACCTTCTGCTGTCAGAGCTGCTTTCTGTAGAAGAGCAGGTATTAGTGCCCGCTGAGTGCCGACCCACCCTGAGTGCCTCATGATCATTACCGTTCATTCTCCCCACATCCCTGATTTTCAGGGTCTTCCTTTGCATTTTCACTGCATCCCTACCAGGTAGGTCATTGCATTTCTGTTTTTCTTTGTTGTGTGACAGGTCATTAGCTTTCTCTGTTTTTGTTTGTTGTTTTGTTATTGTTGTTGTATGTGTTTAAGAGGATTCTCAGGCACCTAGAGGCTGAATGGCTTGTCCAAGCTTTCCCAGCTAGGAAGTAAGGGAGAGGGGAATGGGACTACAGATGCAGGAAATAAAACTGTTGGGGTTGTGTCTACACAAACAAGCAAAGGAAATTGGAAAGAAACAGAAAATTATCCAGATAATTCAGAATATAGCAGTTAATAAAGGTCTGCGGTTTGGTAGCCAGTGTTTCTGGGCTGATTGCATGAATGGAGCAAATTCTTACATTAAGGGCCCTTTCCTTCTTGGGAATAGGATCATCTGAGCATACTGCCTCCAGGCACTCAGGTGCCAGTGGCTTCAGCAACCTCTGGGAGCTGCGTTCTTAACCAATTCATTTCCTGCCACCTCTCAGTGCCTCCGCCCATGAACTGCGTCCAAGGAGTGGATTCTAGGAGCATCCTCTGGGGTGCCAGCCAGGAGAACCCCAGGTGGCAGTGGCTGGGCAAAACAGAGTGGGGAGAGGGACTGGGGGAGGATGGATTTGCCAGGCACAGACCCCTCTTGGTTAGACCCTCGTCTCCCGTGGGCAGATCTCAGGATAGACTGGAAAACTGGAAAATGCCCACCTGATGGTTAAGCGGTGAAGGCCTAGAGAGAATGAGGGGAAAGTGGACTCAGGAGGTGGAGAGATGTCCCCAGGGGATCTTTGATAACCTTGGGTCCCCTCTTCCCTGGAGAAAGAAAGCCAGCCCCTGGGAGCAAGGGCATCCCTTGCAGTTCGTGGAAAGCCCACACTTGACATATTGATGTGCCCAGCAAGGGAGGCCAGGGCTGCCCTGGGCCAGGGCTGTGGAGGGGTCCAGTCAGCGAGACAAGTAAGGAGCAGGAAGGGCCTGCCAGGGGTGATGCGGGATCACCAGAATCTCTCCCTGCACAGGCTGGGGTGATCAGACAGGGGTGGGACTAGGGCAGAAAAGTACAAACACAAAACAGCCACCACCCCAAGTACCCTTGGCTATGGATTTTGCCCCTAGGTCAAGTGCATGCCACATGGATGACTGAAATTGAGGTGTGTGTGTGTGTGTGTGTGTGTGTGTGTGTGTGTGTGTGACTTCCACCAGGAATGTCTGGAGAATGGGGAGGATTGAGAACAAGAAGTGCGCTCCAGTGTGAGGCATTGTTTGGAGGCCTGAAGGTGGGGGTCACTCATCCACCAACCCTGCCCCGCCTGAGCCCAGGTGCCTGGAAGGATTCACAAGTCCCAGTGCCGGGAACCCAGTTTTGCTGAACTTTGCAGGCTCCTTTCTCACCTTAGGGCACTCACCGAGCTCCACCTGGCAAGACCAGGCATCACATCGGTACGCGCCAGCGTCCTCGTCAGATGCTCAGTCTCGCTCCCAAGCACCCAAATCTACTGCACTGGGGGAGTTGCAGGATGCGCGTGCCTACCCGATTTTCCAGCCCCCACCCCAGTCTCGGGGACCCCACCCTCAAGGGCAAGAATGCAGAGGAAATCCTCCAGGAGGCTCAGCGCCGGGGCAGCAGCCCGCGTGGAAGCGGCCTGGGACAGGCAAGCCCAAGAGTCCAGCCCGGGAAGTCGGGGCTCAGCCTCCTGCAGGTCCTTGGTTTTGGAAGGAGCGAAGAGAGCGGCTGCAGGCAGACAGCGGCTGCGGAGCGGACCTCTCTCTTCCAGCAGATGCCTGGGGGATGGGGAGCCCGGGGAAGGGGGCTCGAGCAGGGATTGTATCCCGCCCCCTGCACCCCAGCCCGTGGTACGGCTTTAAAATCCTGCGGAGTTTGTCATAGGCCGGCCTCACCACGCATGCGCATACGCAAAGTTGAGTTTTCTCTCCCCCCCTTTCCCTCTCTAGCTTCAGTAGAATGGCTGCTAATACTATTGACCCTGCAATTGGAGCTTCAACATGGGCTTTTGGCAGTCATAGGTGGAGGCCGTATAGGGGTATTTTTACCATAAATGCTATTATGTATGCTAACCATAAAAGCGAGTCGCCTCAGATGTGGGTTGACGAGTCAATTCAATATTGAGCTAATAATAAGTTTAGTGAGCCTAGAGTAGTCTGGGTATAAATCAGGGCAACTAATAGGGGTAGTGACCCGGCAAGGGTGTAGAAGAGAAAGTAAATTCCGGCGTTTAGTCTCCGGGCCCTCGACCGCCCGCCCGCCCGCTCTCCCGCCCCTCGGGCCCGGGCGCCAAACGAGGAGGTGGGCAGCCCCGCCGGCCATGGACCTCCGGAGCTGAACAGCCGCCGCGGAGCCCCTCGCCCCTCCCCAGCCCCACGCCCTCGGTGCCCTCGCTTCGCGTCGCCCTTCGCCCTGGAAAGGCGGGGGAACGAGGGGGATTAACCCGAAGAGAGAAAGAAGGGGGTGGGGAGGGGAGAGCCCGTGTCTCCCCTGGGGCGATCGCCCCCCGAAACCACCGCACGGCAGAACGTCCGGGGACGACTACCCAGTTGGCGCTCCCTTTTTGCCAAACCCTAAAATGAAAGGACAAAAGTTGGCGCTGACTCTTACAGCTCGGATGGCGACTTGTGCGTTTTCAGCGGCATCTCCCGGAGAAAAAACCGTGCGCGCCTGATTGTTCTGGGGCCCCAAAGCTGCAGAGTGTGTGTGTGTGTGTGTGTGTGTGTGTGTGTGTGTGTGTGTTTGAGTGTGTGTCTGTGTGTACACAGACGTCCGCACACTCGCGGCCCCAGGATCAGCGCCTGGAAGCAGACTTTTCGGCCACAGACTTGGAGAGGAGGAGCTGGAGATCAGGAGGGCGTGAGCCGCCAGGAGTTTGCAGAATCCGTGGTGTGAATGAACTGGGGGCACCTGGGCGCACGGATCACCCCCCCTTTCGCCTCAGGCCATAGTTGAGTAGTGGGGCATTTTTTTTTCACCCTCTTGTGAAGAATTTTTTTTATTATTTGTTGTAAAGTCTTTTGCACAATCACGCCCACATTTGGGGTTGGAAAGCCCTAATTACCGCCGTCGCTGATGGACGTTGGAGAGGGAGCGCCTCGCCGCGGAACAGTCGCCTGCGCGCCCTCGCCGGACCCGCGGCTCCCTTGTTGCGCCCCGGCCCGGCTCAGTCTCTGCTGCGGGTCGCGGCGCTTCCGCGCCCCCTCGGATCCCGGGCGCATCCCAGCGCTGCTCAGGCTCGGGCCCCCAGACCCGGGCTCCAGGAACCGCTTCGGCTCCGATTCCCTGCGCCTGCGGGACGCGCCCAGTGGGAGCCCGCAGCTCTGCGTCGGATCGTCCCCCCAGGCTTAACCGGCCGCTCCGCTTGGATTCCTCTGCTGCCCTTGCTCTGGTGGCGACTTCCTCTTCGGGCCCCCTCCCCCTCGCCATGAAGGTAGGTGTTCTTTGCTCCTCCGACGCTCGCCACTTTTTTTTACCTTTACTTTTTTTTCTTATGGAAGTTAACTGAATCCCCCTCCTCCCCAACCCCCACTATCCCTTCCTATTCCTCCATTTCTCCTTTCGCCTCGAGAGAATGGAACTCCCGCGGGGCTGGCAGGGACCCCTACCCTTCGCCCCCCACCCCCTGCGCACTACCTCTGTCTCCCTGAGACCTCTTCTTGTCTCACCAAACGTTCTGTAAGCCTTTTCGACTTTGGAGAAAGGGTTACTAAGAGCCAAGGCAGAAAAAACAGTGCGGTTCACAGACGACTTGACTTCCCTTTGGCCCTGAGAAACTCGAGTGTACTTACTATGTATATTTCAGTAACAGGATAATGATTCAATTCAACAAATATTTACCAAGTGCCCACTGCGCGGGCACCGAGGAGGTGTGTGGCCAGGGCTTGGAAAGGGGAAGTGGCCTCCTTGGTTGGGAGACTGGGCAGCCGGACTAGGGGCCAGCTGCTCCAGAGAAGCGCACCCCTCGCCCCCTGTAGCCAGAGAGCTGGCCAGGTTGCAGGCTCGTCCTGGCCAGGGAACCCTAGTGCCTCAGGCCCTGTACCTTTAAGAGTGCCTGGCGGGGGGCCAGTGCGCACCCCGGCTTGGGGAGCAGGGTCGCGTTATTAGCATTATTAGCCGCCACTGGGTGAGCTGGGCACTTAGCGGCGGTGCTGGGGGCGGGGAGTCCTGGCGGTGGTGGCTCTAATCCCGTCCGCAGGGAAATCGCGCCCAGGCCCCCTGCGCGGAATCCGCCTTGTCCTTTGGAAACATTTGGGCCTCTGGGTTGGGAGAGCAGGCGGGGGGCAGTTTGTGAACTCTTGTTTGTTTTAATTGTCAGTTGTATGTTAAAGCCGAGTCACACACTCCGAGGGTCACCGAGAGTTCACTTTTAGGAAAAGTTAACATTTCTTCCTGCAATATAACTTGCTATTTTTTTCAAATAACTTTTCCTCTCTCTGTCCCCCAAGCTTCTATCCTTCCATTTTTGGTGATCTCTCCCATTTTCAGTTTTCCAGAAAATAAGGTTGAAATTGGAATGAGGATGTTTCCTAAAAGCAAGCAAATTCTCCCTCCCGAAAAAAAGGTTTTAAAAACCCGCAAACCGGGAGACCCCCGCGGCCTGGTTTTACTTTCTAAACCTAGTCCGGCATGGGGCCCCTTCTCCTCTCGTCTTTCTTTAAATGGACAACTCGCTGTTTGGAAGTCGTTTGTAGCCAGCGGTGCGATCACACCTCCTCAGCCCCTTGCCCTGCCGCCAACGCTCTCTGTGGCTCAGCCAGATGCGGAGATTTAGTTTCTAGCAGCCTCTGCCAGGGGAGTTCCGAGAGGGTAATGCTGAGAGCGCGCAGACGATGGAGAGGCAGCGGAATTGTGTGTCCGAGTGTGTGGGTTTGTGTCCTGCGTGTGTGGGAGAAGTAAAAGGTCAGTTGTTCTTGGGTGTACTAGCCTTAGTCCCGCACCGCCCCACAAAGGAGAACCCTCCCTCCCCTCCGGAAGGCCGACCCAAGACTCTCTGGCCATTTCCCTCCCCTCATTGGAGCGCTCCAGTGCACAAGGGGTTAGCACCGTGCGCCGGGAGCTCAGCTTTTCCCGCAGTCTTTTCTTCCCTGCCGTGCGGTGCCGGCTGCCCCCTGTTGGCTGCCTTGAGGTAGGACACCTCAGATTCAGTTCGGTGGGGCCAGTGGGTTCGCCTCTAGCTCCCACCTCTGGCTGCGCACATTCTATCCCACTCTCTCAGGGGAGGGCCGCTCAGAGGCCCCCAGAGGACCCGCTGCGCTGCGCTGCGCCGCCACCGCAATGCGGAAGAGGCCAAGGGCACGACCCAGCAAACGGGGCTCGGGCGAGTGGAGCAAGAGCTGGTACCTCTTCTCCAGGGCGTTGGAACAAGAGCGTTGCCCTCTAGGAGGCCTCGGGGGGTCTGGTCTTGGCGCTCTCACCAATTTCCTCTGTAATCGAGGACAAGTGTTGCTTTCTCTGGTCCTCAGTTTCTTGTCTATTAAAAAGTGCAGTTGAAACTGCCTCTGAAGGGAGGTTGGTGGGGGTTGAACTGATGCTTAATTTTCTTTCTCCTTCCACCGGACTCTGCTCTTCCTCTGGATAAAGTTGAGAGCCTGTGCTGAGAGTTAGACATTTCATGTGAGAAGGTAGGAGTGGTGTGTGTGTGTGTGTGTGTGTGTGTGTGTGTGTGTGTGAGGGAGGGGGTTGAGGTCTGGAGAGCCTTGTCCCGGGGGTGGACGACTGAAGGCAGGGAACAGAAAGAACTAGACTTGGCTACTATACCTCCCTTAGAGACCCCTTGCTACTGGACCTGCTGTTGGTTTTGAGTCAGGGCGATCACAGGCTGCTCACGTTCCTTGCAATGATTTGGGCTCTGAAAGCTCCCTACACCCTCTCTACCCCCCACCCCATCCCGCCACAGCGCTGTGGATATGTCCTGGCAACACTGGGCGGCCGCAGCCCCCCCCCCCCCAGGCTAGAGGCATGGGGGAGCGCTGGCTCCTTGTTTGCTCCCCCAAAGCGGACCTCCTATCAGCCTTGACCGGCTCATCCTCCCCTCCCCTCCCCTCCCACTTCTCTTGGCGTTCCCGAAGCAGGACAGCCCAACACAACAATCGAGTTTTTCTCCCGCAGTTTTCTCCATCTTTCTCCTTGCTTCGGGGAGAGATCACATCGGGGAAAATACGTTTTATTTCCCACCAAGAACTGTGATTCTTGGAGTTTCCTACCGCTTTCGACACCGTGAGTCCAGGTCAAACTCACTTCCTCCAAGTTGGTCTCCCTCATCATTTCCACTTCCAGCGACTTTTTTGGGGCGGGGGGGTGAGGGGGGGACCGGGACGCAAAGAGCCTGGTGGAAGGGGATGCCCAAACTGAGTGAGGCAGCGCCAGTGGCCGAGGGTCGGGGATGTTCGCCCTGCCTTTGTGGAACTTTCTTTTTAGGGGCGGCGGGCGGAGGACTCTCGGAGGTTTGCGAGTGCGTCGCAGTGCTTTCCCCGGCACGCGAACCTTTTCCAAACAGCTTGCTGGTTTCCTCTCTCCTACCTCCTATCACTCCACGCCCGCAACCCAGTTGAAAAGAAGGGTTAGGAACACCTTTAATCTAATGGGAAAGCTTTGGATGAGAGACAGAATAAGCAGCCGCTACAATTCGCTGCTCTGGGCTGGAAACAAGGGCGCGCTGCCTTTCTCACCCCCAACCTCCCCCCTCCCCTTCGCTAGAAACTCTCAAATGCACCCTCCTTCCCACCCCACACAGGGAACAGGTTCCGAGGTCCTCACAAAGTCGGCTTTCCCGGGCCCTGAACGCTTTTGAAAACCTTTAGTCCCTTTTTGGTAAACTTAGCTTCTGCCTAGAAGTTTTGGTTCGCCCTCGCTCGGTGTACCAGTCTCCGGAGAGGTCTCCTTTCGTACTGTCTTTTCGGATCAGATCTCTTCGTAAACAAGGCAGGGGTGTTTACCCAACAGAGTCCATGTATTTCTTAGTGAGTTCGCTGTAGGTTCCTTACATGTTTCAAACTCGAGGGGCCTTTTCTGGGCTGCTCGGGGTTTGGATGGGGAAGAGGGCCAAGGTGTTTCCGGGCAAGCGCGCGGGGTTAAGTGGCGACGCGACTCGCCCGGCTCTCCTGCGGATCCCCTTGGGGACACCTTTGGCTGACCCCCAGCCTGGAGCTGGGGAGACCCGGCTGGCAGAGGCCCAGTGACCCACTACCAGTGGGCCCCAGCTCTGGGACTAGGTGGACTTTTCTCGGGGTCGTCGGCCGAGAGTGGGTTCGGTTGTGTGGCTTCCCCTCTAACAAAGAGATCCCCTGTAATCCGCCGAATCTGTTATCAATTTCTCCGCCGCCCGCGCCCCGCCCCGCGCGCCCCGCCCGTCGGGAAGCTCGGAAGGTGCGCGTGGCCAGCAGCGACCAGCGCCGCCGTCTGGGAAGCACATTGGAGCCGGTGTATCGGTGCACGCGTGTGAGTGTGTGCGAGTGCGTGAGTGTGATCGTGCAGGAGTGTACGCGCGCGCGGCCAAGGCCGCCTATGGGGAGAGTCGGCTTTGCAGCAGGGGCTGCGCGCGCGAAGGCAGACCTCGCAGCCCACCCCCCTCCCCTGGAGGAAACTTGACACTTCGGGCGGCGGGCGGGGGTGGGGAGGGAGCCGAAGGCTTCTCTCCACGGCTGGGGAAACCCCAGGTTTCTATTCTCTGGGATGCGCCCCCAGCTCCAAGGCGTTTGGAGGACTAGTGTGCCGCGGGCGCTGGAGCCCTGGTTAGCGGGCACCGGGGACACATAAGCATTTCCTCTCGAAGAAGCCCCGAGGTGTCCCGGCCGGAGGGGCGGCTGGCCAAGAAAAGCCGTGGCAAGCTTCTGAGCCCCTTCGTGTTTCCTAAGCTGCCTAGGTCCCCTCAGTCCCTTCTGTCGCCTGGAAGAGGCTCACCCGTCCTTTCCTGAGGAAGGGGGTCCCCGGGGAGCTGCGGGAAGCGCAGCGCGTCCGGGTTAAACTGATCAGAGATGTAAAAGGGGATTTTGGAAACCTGCTCCTCCCTCCCGCAGCCGCCACCGCTTTGCTCCGCTGCCGCCTGCAGGTGGAGAAGTCACCCGTGGGGAGGAAGGGCAGCGGGAGCTTCCAAGGCCGCCCCTGCCCCGACATTCTTGACGACTGGAACCTTCGCCGCCAGGCCCTCTGCGCCCTGGAACCGGGGGTCTCCACCGAGGCGCCCGAGCCTGCGCATCTCTGGCCCCGTCGGGGGGGCTCGCTGGAACCAGCTCCGGCCTCAATCTGCACCCTCACCGTTCAGAACTGACCCAACCGAGTCTTAATTGGGCTGGAGGGGGGTGTGGGGGGCGGTGGCGGTGTTCCAAGGCCAGGCTCAAGGTGCCGCGATGGCGAAGTGGCGGACAACTCCGACCAGGACCGAAGGAAACTGGAGTCCCCCTTGGCTTCCTTTCCCCCGGCTCCTAGGCAGCTGCCAGGAGTGGGGACGGGAGGGTCGGGATGGAGAGTGAAAAAGAATTTGGAGGAGGATGGTGGGGAGAGCAGGGCAGGGGTCCCGGCCAAGTACGACGGGACCCAGATCCCTCCTTTCCTCTGGGGTGCCTTCCTTTCGCTAGAGTACGCGGAGTCCCAGGGAGCGCCCTGTTTTCTGGATTCCTTGGTTGGGAGAGCAGATCTCTCTCCCTCTCTCCATTGATTCCTGCGCCCCCCAGCTCCTTCCTCCAGCTCCAATCTGGCGGAGGAGCGTCCTAAGGAAAACCAGGCTGCCCTCCCCCCTCTGGAAGTGGCTTCGCCCAAAGCGGCCCGTAAACTGATTATGAAACATACGATGTTAATTCAGAGCCGCATTTCCCAGCTGGGCACTTTCTCGCGCGCCGCTCCCCCGGGCCTCGCCCCCCACCCCCTGCCCTTCCCTCCCGCGTCCTGCCCCCACCCCCACCCCCGCGCCGGCCACCCCGCCTCCTCCGCAGCCGCCGGCGGGCGCGCTCCACTCTCCTCCGCGCTCCTCTCGCCCTTGGAATGAATTCCGGCTCCACTTGTCGCTCGGCCCAGGTCGGGGAGAGGACGAGGGTGGCGGCGGGGGTCCCAAGTGAATTCCCACGGAGGGACCTAGCACTGTGCGCACTAGAGGGGAGCGAGGGGGTGCGGGACACGAGCGAGCAGGAAGGAGGCAGCGCCTGGCACCCGGGCTTTGACTCCACAGCCTTGAGACATGTTTGTAATCGCTGGCGTGCCCCGCGCGCAGGATCCCAGAGAAATCAGATTTCCTGGTGAGGTTGCGTGGGTGGATTAATTTGGAAAAAAGAAACTGCCTATATCTTCTCATCAAACAACTCACGGAGGAGAAGCGCAGTCCATCGACAGTAGACCTAAGAGACCCGGATGCTTCCGTTGTTTAAACTTTTGAGCTGGGAAATTATCTGAGAGGCAATAAACATCTGCTCCTTTCTTCCCTCTCCAGAAGTCCACTGGAATATTAAGCCCAGGAGTTGCTTTGGGGACGGCTGGAAGTGCCATGTCTTCCAAGTTCTTCCTAATGGCTTTGGCCATATTTTTCTCCTTCGCCCAGGTTGTAATAGAAGCCAATTCTTGGTGGTAAGTTCATTCTATGTGCATATATTTTTTTAAAAAAAGATACATTTGTAGGATGCTGCGATATTTAAAGCTAAATCACGAGTTTGGGTGCATTTATCTAATACACATATAATACATTTTTTTTATTTGCATGTATTTTTAAATAAGAACTTTCTTTTCAGTTGCTAATATTGGTAAGCTTATCTTGAGCTCCCTAGGGAATCAGAGCTTATAAAGCTAGGCCTTTTTCTATGAGGCCCTTGTTCAGATGTGTGCTCCTAGCACATCATATCATAAAAGGGAACCAAAAGTCACTTCTCTAATCACCGAAAGCCTATCTATAAATTTTACGTTTTGCCACCTCTAGGTAGTAAAAGTGAGTTCCAGCTTTTATTTTTTCTGTCACTTGAGGTTATTAACCTTCAGGGTCTACTGTAGGGAGAGTTCTAGGAAGACAGCTGAACTTCAAGTCGAGAAGTATTTGGGCTCAAAATTCGGTCAAGAAAAGGTGAACTTGAAGTAGTCCAATGGCCCTGACTGAGAGGGTTTCTTTCTGGCAGGGCCCTGGAAGATAGGCTGCAGTATATCCAGAGGATTATTTTTGACGGCGTTCTGGATATTTTTCCCTGTGAATGAGCAGTGTTTTTCTGACTGTCAAACATGACTGCTGTTCACTGGATACCCTGTCTTGGGTCCTTCACAATCATATATAAGGAGCCCTTTTAAGCTGTCCAGAGCCTGGTGAAGTTTCTCCGGTCTACATACTTGTCCCACTGTTCTTCCATCAGTCAAAAGGAGCTGCTCTCTGCCACCCGTGTCTAATTGTGTCTACTTTCCTCGGCATTCATACATTTTTTCAAGGCAGATCGGTCCAATTGGTGGGGCAGAGTGAGTCACTTTCTCTAAAGTCAGAGATTTGTCCCGAAACCGCTGTGTACCTCTTTTCTGAGTGGGTTTCGGAAATACTGGCTCAGGTATATGGCAGGGGTAGGGCCAAGGAAGGGAGTTAAAAACTGAGGGGCCAGATGGCGGGATGGGGACTACACAATACCTCCGTTTTCTGAGCGGAGCTGAAACAGAGGAGTTTTATGAAGCCCTTCTCCTACTTTGTCATGAGGACAAGCAGGAGAGAAAAGCATCTGTGTGCTTAGAACTATGTCTTGCTGACATGCTTTCTGGGGGCCCACCTCGAGTTCACGTAAATCTTAAAGGCACATCTCCCCCCCCACCCTTTTCCAGGTCGCTAGGTATGAATAACCCTGTTCAGATGTCAGAAGTATATATCATAGGAGCACAGCCTCTCTGCAGCCAGCTGGCAGGACTCTCTCAAGGACAGAAGAAACTCTGCCACTTGTACCAGGACCACATGCAGTACATTGGTGAAGGCGCAAAGACGGGCATCAAAGAATGCCAGTATCAGTTCCGGCATCGGCGATGGAACTGCAGCACTGTGGACAACACCTCCGTGTTTGGCAGGGTTATGCAGATAGGTAGGAGACCACTTAACATATTTTAAAATTATATATATATATATATATATATATATATATATATATATATATAAACTTTTCTCCTAGAAAAAGTCCTTAGTGGTTACTGACCAGCCTGATCCCCAGGGAATCTTCCAGCAGAATAGTGACTTGGGGATTTGTGTCCTTATTGCTACCTGTGTTAATTCCTGTTCCCACACTCCTCTTTTACCTTCTGGACTTACTTCACCCAATCAGGAAGGGAGCATCTAAGACGCCATTATTTTTTCTGAACGTGTAATTTTTTTTAAAGAAACATTTTGGTTACAATAGAAGCAGCACGCTTATTTTGGTTTCTCAAAAGTAGAGGAGGAAAGCTGAGTCAGTGATACTCTTTTAAGCTCCAAAACTCTTTTAACTGTTAACGGTTTTCTAACGTAAGCCACAATTCACATGGCCCAAGCAGCAAACTAAATATTGTCCTCTTTCAGAATGCTGGGTGTGTTGGAAATGAATCAGGTTCTAATTTTCCTAATATAGATAGGCCCTGAGGCTATAGAGATCTATATGTTAAAAGCTTTCTTTTTAGTTCCTGAAAGAATTTTAATGAGAAATGGTCCAATTTACATTTGCGATTTTGGCAATTGATATAAAAGCGCATCCTTCATTCAGACCTCAGCCTAGCAACTTAAAAGAAAAAGTTCAATTGTATCACTCACAATCCAATTCTTTCTTTTAAATATGTTGTTGAACTTGTTGTTCCATTCAGGGAGGAGATGGCATTAAAACTGGACAAAAGGCAAAGAATTTGACACATCAGCTTACCTCTGGTTTGGTTTAATAGCACAGAGCACTCTCTGACAGACTAGGTCCTGTGTGCATTTTCTAGTGTGACTATTTTAGGTTTCTTTTCTTTTATGCAAAACAAGCCCTTATAATTAATATGACTGCAGTCACTCCTAAAATAAGAAGCAATTTATCAAAGCAATTAACTGTTTATACTGACTGAAGATAAAAAGTTGGTTTAATATCCATCACGGATGGATAAAATGCTTTTTTAAAAAAAACCCTGAAAAGTGCATTCATTGAGAACAAAAAAGAGTTGTCAGTGGATGTTTGAGCCAAGCGGCTTCATAAACTAAAATAATACAGGTCTGGAAGCCAGTCCTCTAACTGAATGGGGAAATGGTCTGAAGCCCCAGCCTGCAAAGTTTCTTAGGGCTTTGTCCTTCCTGTTAATGATTAAAATGTGCTAATGTATATGCTGGATCAGGAGCCCGGAGTTCAGCCTCAGGAACACAGTAGTTTTCCCTGAATATAGGCTGCCTTATGTAGGTAACAGGGCGTGTGGTGGAGATTCAACTCCCCTGCATTTTGATATTGGGAGTGAACTAAACACTTCTACTTAAAGTTCTTTCCGAATGGCATGTTGTCAGCCTTCCCCCCTGACCTTTGCTTACAGAGTGCCCCGAAACTGCCTTCCTCTCAAACTGTGGGGCCACTTTTTCACAAGAATATGAGTTAGCAAAAAAATCACACACCTCTGATGGTAACCAGAAAGGAAAACAGCAGTTGGAACTGTTTTTCTGTGTAGTCACTGGAACACAGCTTTGATTTAAGATCCTCTTCTTGTCTTTATATGTAGCCTGCTTTGGGCCAAAATGTTCAGAATAAGCTATCATTTGCTAAGTGGATTTGAGTTCTGCTGGAGATTTATTTAAAATGTGGTCCAAGATTCAAAGAGCCTACTTCCTCGGGGAACAAGCAGAACCCTTGTACAAAGGCCTATATTTAATTGTCCCTTGCAAGTACGCTCTCTGGTCCTCAGCTGTGTGGTACTGTCTGTCTGGGTCCATGGGAAGTGGGTGGGACAGCCTCTGAGATAGGATCTCCAAGTCAGCTGCTGTTCTGGGAGGATGCCTTGTCTCCCTTGCCAACAGTTCCCCAGGTGCCTGGGGTCTCAGGGCAGAAAGCTGCTGTTGGGTGGCTTGTGTTACAGCACCAACAGGGCTCTCTCTCTCTCTCTCTCTCTCTCTCTCTCTCTCTCTCTCTCTCTCTCTCAACTCTCAAATTTAAAATATATTTGGAGAGAAGAAAAACCAAAATAGCTTTTGGTGGAACAGGAACATGGACCCAACATCAGTGGGAAAGTGACTTAGTTTTCACTTTTCCATTTAAGGGTACCTTGGGAGGGAATGTGCAGAGCACCTTTAAGAATGAAAGGTGTGTGTGTGTGTGTGTGTGTGTGTGTGTGTGTGTGTGTGTGTTTGCCTGCTCCAAAGCACTTGGGACATCAGGGACATGGAGAGCAATTCTTGTCCGTGAGAATCTGACCCTGCCATGGGGCCCATGTCTGAGAAACTCGGGGCTGCCTCTTCCAGCCCCCTCCTCAGCTCATTTTTCTAGGGTACCAATGGCCTCGGAGGCACTGTACACAATCGCCTGGTGAAGGGCCCACTCTTCATTTGGGAAACTTCCTCATTTTTCATCATGCTACCCTTTCTCCCAGCCTTTGTCTCCGTCTCTTCTTTGTTTCCATGCTGTGAAAAGATATGTCAGGAAGGCACCATTTTTAAGGAGTGTGAGGATGGGAGAGGGTGTAGGTTCACAGGGAGGGAAAGCCAGGAGAGGCAGCAGTATTCCATCCAGGAAGACTGTAGCCGCAGGCTATTAGCCAAAGAGCCCCTTTCAAACCCACGTTTTCCCTGCAGTGACCACTTAGCTCAGAGACTTCTACCAGGTTCGTATTCTGGGGCAAAAAAGGAAATGCTCAAGATAGACTTGTGAAACAAGCAGCATGATTGTGTTTGGTATAAAAGACCTTTTATGCTTTGTATACTCACAAGACAGGGTCTGACTTTCCGTATCTCTGAAGGATTGTTTATCTCCTCTTCCTCTAGCTACCTCTTTATTCCACAAGCCTCCCATCCAGGGCCACAGCATTTTCTGTATTATGTGTTCATCCTTAAATAACTCCCTAGAATCTATCTTCCCTCCTCATTTCTCTCCACTCCCTCCCATGTTCTCTGCCTCACTAATTCCAGCAAGATAGATGTCACACCCCACAGGAACTTTCTGGATCCTCCTGCCAACCACCAGCACACGCCTCAAGTTATTCATTTTTAAAATGTGGGAGGGAAGGTCTGTGGTAAATGGGAACCATCGCCATTCCTGGAGGGGGTGGGGGTGGGGTCAGCAAGGGCCCTGGATGGAGTTGGAGCAGACGTCCAAGGAAAAGGATGGGTCCTTGAATGGGCACAGACATCCCCCTGCAGAAGGCTGGGGCTGAGTTGTATTGCCACCCCGCTCTGCTCCCCACAAAACACTGTTAGCAAGCACTTGCAGTGCGGGAGAAACAGATTCCGGTACAGGGATTTTAGTGTAGGGAGGGGCTCCCTCCCAGGTTTCTAGTTCAATACTCTGATTTTATAGTTGAGGAAAGTGAGACCCCCTCATCTTACCCCCAGACCCAGCTTCAGCTGGCCTGGTGTTAACCCTTTCTCCCTCATAGTACAGATTTTTATCAAGTGGCTCCTGTTATGCGTAGAAATGTCTTCACGTACAAGTGGAGGTGAAGGCAGTCTGTGATGACCTCCGTGTTCCTCCTGACACACAGGGCCCCTGTTTTACAGGGGGAAAGTCTTTGCAAGCTTTAGGGGAGGGGAAACTTGTTTCTGCTCTCAGGTTCGTATATTCTTTACAAGTGTTGGGGGAGAAGAAGCTTTTTTGGTCTTTTCCCTTGAGGTTGTGCTTTTGTCTTCTTGCTGTCATTCGAACACTGAGGGATGGGCTGTCAGGGAGTTGCACTGAAGCCCAGCAGGCTGTTTTCATAGTAGGCACTCACCTAGAATGAGAAGTATCAGTCCAGTCAGCTTGGCATTGAAAAAGAAGCGGCTCATTTATAACTGTCTAGGGATCGGTTTAGAAAATGTCCATTGGGAAAGTCTAGAACAGTGATGGCGAACCTATGACACGTGAACTCATTTTTTTGGTTGATTTTTCTTTGTTAAATGGCATTTAAATATATAAAATAAATATCAACAATATAAGTCTTTGTTTTACTATGGTTGCAAATATCAAAAAACTTCTATATGTGACACGGCACCAGAGTTAAGTTAGGGTTTTTTCAAAATGCTGACACGCCGAGCTCAAAGGGTTCGCCATCACTGGTCTAGAACCTCATCCTGAGACACACTTAGTGCTGCATGAGGGCTAGGCAACAAGCAGCAGCAGGAGGGGAAGTGAGCTAGAACCAGCGTGGCCACAGTGTGGCTGCTGCAGAGGCTGCCATGCACTGAGGCCTCACACTTTCCGAGGCTCCAAGCCTGGCAACTGCTAGGCGCCTGCATGTGAAAATAATACAAACATTAACATGTATGTAAGGAAGTCTACCCAGATTCTGAGTTTCCCCTCAATGACTTCTTTCTTGTGCATTTTTGGAAATAAGAAGTTTCCAATATTTTAAAAAAGAGTTGGAGAGAAAATCGGGCCAGCACTGTCTAGAATCCTGCCTTTGGCTCTGAAAGGCAAGAGCGCAGGTATCGGGGACCTGCTACGCCTTTGTTATTTGTTGCTGCTGGGTTATTTGTTATTATTTGGGGGAAATCACGGGGGGG